ACGGAGATGAGCACCGCAACCCTAGAGTCGGATTCGACTGGCTTTCGAGCAAGGGAACCTCTACCTTTAATGTCCTGTCCACATTGCACCATCCCTTTTACTAACCACACATCTCATTTCCCCTTGTCCCAAGCAACCTCCATTTTTTCAGCCTATCGTGTTTACATGTGCATTTTGTCTCCATTATGTTATTCACACATGAACACACACATGAAGCTGCCTTAATACTTAATCAGGCCATCAGTCACTCAAGGTCAGTAATGTCTACTCAGACTGGCAGCAACTCTCCGGGGTCTCAGGCAGAGATCTTTCACATCACTTACTGCCTGGCCCTTTTTAACTGGAGAGATCAGGGAATGAACCTGAGATTTTCTGCATGCACATCAAGAGGCTCTTCCACTAAGCCACAGCTCCTCCTCAACATTTGGAAGTTGCTGCTGCCAGAGCAGATGCGTTTATTATTAAAACCAACTTTTATGGTTTGCAAAGGGATTTGTATAGGTCTGATTTTTACACTGCCGCCCTGAAATTTGGCAGCCAGGAGACAGAGCAATGGATCATCCCACTGGTAGGACCTGGTAGAGGGTGTGGCGTATCAAGTCCTGACATGTCCAGACAAGTCCAGAAACAAACGTCAAGCTTCGCTCCAAGAGACAATGGACTATGCGGATCCTAGCCCGCTCCAATCAGGGGGCTAGCTTCCTGGCCGAGAGCCAATGGGACTCTCGGCCGCTGTAAATAACCTATTGGGAAGTGGGGGGGGGTTGGGGTGGCGGTTTCTCTGGGAATATAAGCCGGCCTGCGAGCCGGCCAAAGTCATCTTGTTCCTGATCGAATAAAGTACACTTTGCTGAAATCACTTTACGTCTGCATACTTTTCAGAGGGAGTCCCCACCATCACCACTACAAATCACAGACTAAAGAAGGGAATGGATTCATCTGCTGCCAAGAAGAAAAGGGTGTGGGAAAGTGCACGGGAGAGAACTGAAAAGAGCAGGGGAGAGATGAATCCTCCAAATCCACCAAACCGAGGTAGCCTTTTACTCCTGGATGCAGGTTTGATACCTACAAACAGCTAGCATAGCACACTAGTTAGCGTTGGACTGGGGCTGGGGAGACCCCTGCATTCAAGTCTTGACTCTGCCATGGAAACACACTGAATAGCCTTGGGTCAGTCACTCTCTGTCTAACCTGCCTCAGAGTTGTTCTTGTGAGGATAACGTGGAGGAGGAAGACATGTCATAAACTGCTTTGCTTTAACACTGAGGAGAAAAGCAAGGTATAAATAAATCAGAAATTTACATCTTGAAAAAGACTCTGAGCTAGCAGGTGTCCAATGTTAATGTGCAATCTTAGAAATCAATCTGATTTGTCTTCTGATGTGCCTCTTGGTTTTGAACTCCTTTAATATTTTTGCAGATTCCCCCCTCCTTATTTCTCCAGTTATGAGATCTACATACACGCCCTTTTTCAAGTAAGCTAGAGTTTTTTAAACTTCTAACATAATGCAGGGACTGCTTCAAATTGTTTTGGCAGCCACTTAGGAGTTACCTGTTGGTCAGCTCAGTTTGTGACATCACTTTAAAAGTGCAGGATCAGGACCAAAACTTCTGATGTAGCCAAAGTGGCACAATTATTGTAAAATAACACTTTAAGGCGGTGTTTAATGATCACTACATCTTACTTATAATCCAAACAGAAGTCTTTTTCGCATTCATTTTTAAAAGAGTATTCAAACACCCTTTTATCTCCACTAAACAGCCTGCCATGTATTTGAAGACTTTTTAGTTTTTGTTTCTACAGACATTGGGGGGGTAGAAAAAAGAGAGGAAAGTAAAAGGAAAAAGCAGAAAAGGGAGAGGTGAGCATTTTGGGACCCTGATATAAGAAGATGCAAAGGCGTATATGGCAATGAATGGCTTCAAACTGACTCAGACACATTCATCTTCCCAAGAAGAATTAAACTCAGTGTGATTCATTTTAATAGCAGAAGAAAAAAAATACTACTACTGTGCAGTACTAAGTTCCTAACCTTTGATGGTGGAATGGGAAGAAAAATAATTTTCTTCCCCCATGTTGCTGAAGTCTGCCTACCCATCTGTTATGTCCGGCTCATCAATTAAGGTGAACTCATGAACCTGAGGAGATGTTTAATAAAGACAGCCATCCATTTAGATGTGGGAAACTGCCTGCAGCTTTGTTTTAAACTGAGAATTCAGAACTGAGCCCCGTACACTGGGTGTGACATTCTTCTGATGTTCAAAATGAGGTCTTCTCTCACGTGCAAAATAATTTCAGATGCTGGAGCACTACCTGAACGATGGAAGAAGAGGGAGAAGAATGAGGAAGGGACCAGGGAGGTACAGCTGGTGGGTCGCACAAAAGGAATCTTCCCCTTTCTTAAATAAATGGTCTAAAGGGCATGATCATGGTCGGGCTAGCAGTTCTATAGAGAGGTATTAGGTTTCAGAGAGCTAGCACATGGTCAGCCAGATTTTTGAACATGAATAAAACAGACGTTTTAACCATAAATAAGGCATTGTTAGGAGAGATGTGAATAACCACAAGAAGAGTAAATATTGTAAATGCAGATTTCCTATACCACCCTTCACACAGAAAGCAATAGCAAGTGCCAAAAACACTCACATACACATCACTTATACTCTGATGGCCAAATATGCTGCTGACCGAAGCCCCACTAACGTGACGGTGAAAGGGTGACTGAGCTTCTGCCACATCATCACAGGCTAGGAAAATGCTACTATTTTTTCTTCCTGCAGTAACTCCTGCCCCAGATCTTGGCCTGGTGGTATGAAATTAGATACCAGTTAGTTTTGTTCAATTCTCCATTTAAGATCCAGCAATTTTTGCTTTACCTGGTATTATTTGACAAGTACCTTGAAAGGCTTAATTTGCTGGGGGGCTCAGACCTACCTAAAACAATTTCCTTTCCTTTGTCCCAACAGCTGTGCTACTAGATATTTAGGGACCTATATGAGATACATGTTCTTCCTATAGTTAGCTGCTAGATAATATTAAAACAGTTATGTACTAGCTTTCCACCTCAGCGGTGGCTCAAGGGCACTTACAAATGCAGAAGCATATTAAAGCATTACTGACAAGAACAAATTAGTCTTGCATGCAACTGCACCATAAACACACAGCTGAAAAAAGGGGAAAGAAAGTTTCAACTGGCCTAACAAGTGAGCTTTGTGGTGCTTCCAGAATTGAGTACCCTCACCATTTGCAGAGAACCTATTCCCAGGATCACGATCAGCAGAATCTGAAAATGCTGGGAGACAAGGTTCTGCTGCCTCCCAGAAGCAAAACAGTCAAATTTCCCACATTTAAAAATGTAACCATAACAGTGACGCTGTTGGAGAAGTAATAACAAACTAGAAACTAGGTGACTGGACCATGAATAAATGAAATCAAAACTCATACATCAACAAATGGTGAGGGTCTACTCACTCTCCTGATCTCCTCCGGGGACTGTTTCAAAACCACCTGCCAAAGAAGAGTGAACTGTAGCACACGTATGGACTTCAGGGATGGGACAATCAGGAGAAAGATCTCAGCTGGTGGACAGGCTCCTATTAGAGGAGTTAGTGTCAGACTGTATTACTTTTCATAGCACCCCTCATATGCTCAGGGAAATGCTTTTTAACTTGAAGGTGAAAGGAAATATAGTAAAGGTAAAGGTTTCTCTTGCTTGAAAGCCAGTTGAATCCGACTCTAGGGGGTGGTGCTCATCTCCGTTTCCAAGCCAAAAAGCCAGCACTGTCTGAAGACTTCTCTGTAGTTATGTGGTCAGCGTGACTAAATGCCAAGGTGCATGGAACGCTGTTACCTTCCCACCAAAGTGGTACCTATTTATCTATTTGCAATTTCTTGCTTTTGAACTGCTCAGTTGGCAGGAGGAGGAGGAGAAGGAAAAGGAGAAGAAGAGACTTACACCCCACCCTTCACTCGGAGTCTCAGAATGGCTTACAAACTCCTTTCCGTTCCCCTCCCCACAACAGACACCCTGTGAGGTAGGTGGGGCTGTGAAAGCTCTTTCCAGAACTGTCCTTGAGAAAACAGCTCTGACCTATGGCTTGCCCAAGGTCATCCAGCAGCTGCAAGTGGAGGAGTGGGGAATCAAACTCGGTTCTCTCAGATTATAGTCCACATACTTAACCACTACACCAAACTGGAAATATAGTCCCATACAATACACAACACCTCTAGCAAGATGGTCTTTAAGAGCAGAATAGGTCTGAACAGTGACATTTAAAGGCAGACTGTGGGGCTAAGATCCAGCTCAAATTAAACTCCATTGTTAAGCTAGTTTAAGGTTTCCATCTTGGAAAATACAACACTTACTTCTCAAACTTAAACATTTAACGCTTGTAAAATTATTTCTATATCCATGGTTTACCTAAAAAGGTGTTTTAATGATGCCTTCAGATATTCAAAATTATTTCAATTGTTAATAATCAATTAAACACTCCCTATGGCTCATAAAAAGTTCTTTTCGTTGTACTAATTTCCATCTACCTAACAAAGGGTTTCTCCCAATATAAATTGAAGATACATAACGATCCTAGGTAAGCAATCTGACTTAAGGAACGACTTCAGCATATAAAAGGACTTCTAGATTGAAACCAAGGCAAACCAAAATTATATAAATTTGAAAAATATAAAATTTTAATAAAGGCTACATCTCTTAATTACAATAATTATTGTACCAAGTAATTTTTTTCTTTAAATGAAACTCTTAATAATGCATAATTTACAGTATAAGTAGAACAAATGTCATGACAAAAGTCATAAGTACAAGACTTGTAGTAAAAAAGCATAAAATATATTTATACATAAACCCCTTAAACAAACAAGGGAGAGCTTGGACCCTGAACACAGGGTGAAACATGGCATAGTAACACCATGCAGGCACAGGTACTGTACTGATTGAAGTGTTTTTTTTAAACACACGAGAAAGATAATGTATTAATGGGTATTTTTCTCCTCACCATATATATTTTCTACACTATATACAGACATATTATACAAAAAAAATGTAACATTGGCAAACAGAATGCATTGACAAACACAACATGTAGAAATAAAATGCCTGGGCAGGGGCAAAGTGTTGTGTGTTGCATTAGCCCACTACACACAAAGGGTGCAATTAGAGTAGGGAACTTTTCTGGTATTTTATAGCACATTACATTTTAGCCATAATCCAGCAATGAATACTATTGACAGCTTGGGAGCAAAGGCAAAAGTTGTTCCAGCAGCAGTCCATGAAGCAAACACCCGTTTCTCCCTAGAAAAGGCAAAAATGTATCCCTTGTTCAGGGCATGGTGGGAATTTATGACTTTTTGTCCTTCAGAATGACAACAGTCCTAGTGGAATACAACCAGAATGAGTCCGCAAAGCTTCTGCCGAGCTCTATAAAATTCAAATTTGAGCAGAACCAGAATTTAGCTCCAGAATTTGATGCCAGAAAACTGGAGGACTCTATTCAGGGATTGGCCCATAACTCCCCTTCACTCTGCACCTATATTTTATGGTTGAAATACAATAGGCTGCTATTCAAAGACTGGCTATATTTTTTTAAAAGTATAGCTTTTTACGATAAATACCCATTTTTTTAAAAAAAATCTGGCTATACTCCTGTCAACGTGAATGGTATTGGTTTCATGTACTGCTCTTCCTGAGACAGACAGGTCTGTCAGGAAGCTGGACTGGATGACCCAATAGGTTCTATAAACTTTATAACTGTATGCTTGCCTTGCTAAAAAGAGGCACTGGACACAATGTTTATGATTGGTATATGCAACATGGCAAAAGTATGTTCTTACCACACTGACAACATCCCCAGTAACTCTTGTAATATTGGCCCATGAATCCAAGGTTAGGGCCAATGTAGTCATAACATTCCTAATCTCCTAACCATGGTTAGAAAATTACAAACATTTGTAGGCTGTTTTGCTATCCTCTGCTGTTAAACATGATTTCCCCCCCTCCTCTGTTTGCACCTTACTCCTGAACTGGCATTAACATTAGCTACTGTAAGCCCCAAACCAGAACTTGTAACCAGAGTAAGCAGCAATTTGGCAAACTCTGTTACTGCTAACCAAAACTGGTTTTTAAACTTTTACACACATAACATTGCACTACTGTTAGAGGAGGAAGGTATGGGGATATCTTGGAGACCATGGGGGTGTTCTGTTATCTGTTCACCACAGTTAGGAGATTGAGAACATTAGGTCTGCACTGGGCCTGAAAATCAGAGCAGCATTGATCAAAATGCATCACTCTCTAGAAGTATACATTTTTCTCTCACACACACATACACACTGAAGAAATAAAAGTGTACGGAAATGTTGGGCACCTCATAATTCCAGTTTGTTCTCTATGGAGGCAGAAATGAATGTATTTTTATAAAAGACATAATCCAAATACTTTAGATAGTAGAAACAATGTAAAAATAAAATACAAACCCACCCCTTCTCTCTATATCACATCCCCTCTTTCTCCATTGTTTAAAGCAGCATGTCCATAAAATGGACTTCAGGGGGGAAAAGACTGTTCAATAAATATCAGTAAGGATTACTGTAAGGTAAGCTACATACAGTTCTCTGAGTCTGTAGGACTGGGATCCCCCAGAAACCATATATTATGTATGGAAGTCTCTCAACATCATATGCATCTTTAATAACCAAGAAGTGGTCATGTTTTTAATAAATAGTTCAGGGTTCTTAATGTCTCAGTACCCAGCCTGAACACCATTTTTAAAAAATTGCTAAGGCTGATTTGGCAAAGTCTTCATAGACCTCCATATATTTTGTAGCTTTTTCTTCATTGGTTCAAGCCTTCCTCCAAAACCTTTGTTTTGTGGTCTGTCCCAACAGCTGGCATCTTTAGCTTATGGTTCTGTACATACACATACACAGACAATGCCAGCCAGCCAGCCAGTCAGTCAATCCTTTCTACTTTTCCAAGGATCCTTCCTTCGTACATGGGCAGAATGGCATTGTCATCCCAGATTTCTTCAAAAACAGCACCACAGTCAAACTCATCACTTGCCTTCTTGAAGTAATACCTGAAATCAATAAGACCAAGAGATAATTAATAAAAGCTCATGCACAATGGAATTACTACAGTGCATACTGCCATATTTGTTTTACCTTTAGAGGTCAAATATGACGATTTAGATGCATGGTATCATAGTTTGAGCCTTGCTTTTGAGGAGGTCATGGCATTACCTTGCTACTTGCTTGTGACACATCAGAACAACACACCATATCACACCAGAAAAGCCTTTCTTCATCCTGTGGTGGCATTAGCTATTCAATCATGGTGTTTGCTGTCCCTATGAGTCTACCTCAAGGCAAATGAGCACAGGTAATGCTACAGTTACTATGGAAGCATTGGTAAAAATGGTCTGTGTTAGGCAAACTTTGGTCATAATCTAAGCGAACTATTTACTATGAAGATTTCTGCCATATCACATTACAATGTTCCTGTTCCATGTTCCTGGCAGCTGCTGGGATGATGCATGAGAATGTGATGGCAGAGAATAGCATTAAGTAGTTCTTTAAGTTACATCTCAGAAACACTTCCCGTTGAGGGCTATTTCTCAAAGCACCCTCATGATGTGCTCCAGCTCGTAGCAAAGACGGTAAAAGCTACTTAATCCACGGGCAAGTATAGCAAAAGGCGGCTGGTGAAGAAGGACAAAGAAGACTACTTTGAACATGTCCTAGAAGGAAATGCTAACGAAGATGGCAACGAAAGAGTATAAAGTCTGACAGAACCTCAGCATTATCAATAAACACTAGATATGTTAAGGAAGGTGAGCGGAAAAAATTGTATGACACAATTCTGCCTTCTGGTCCAATCATAAGAAATATGCAGGCAGGGCTTAGCAGTTTATGTGTTCATAAAAGCTACCTGAGCTAGCTTTAAGTAGGCCAGTTTTAAAACATCTTGACTTTACAGTGGGAAAGAAAACTCCTACCCTTTTCAGCTTCTCAGTTTAGCAATGGGTAATTTAAACTAGGCCCGTGTTTAAACCAATGCAAGAGAAGTAGATTAGTATGTCCAACTTCTATTTACTTCAAAAAAAAGGCAACCCTTTCAGAGGCAGAAATAGACTTCATAATGATGATCAGACTATCCCAAAATTAGTTCAGGGCTTTGTGCTGTCAATCTCCAGGTGGGGCATAGAGGTCTCCCAGAATTACAAATGATCTCCAGACTACAGAGATCAGTTCCCTTGGAGAAAATCACTGCTTTACAGGGTGGACTCTATAGCACTGTACCCCAGTGAAGTCCCTACTTTCCCTAAACTTTACCCTCCCCAGGGTCCACCCCCAAATCTCCAGGAATTTCCAGCTCAGAGTTGGCAACTCTATTAGGGTAATTCAGATGTCATGTGCAAATTGGAATATGTGATAAGCAGAAACCTGGCTGTTGACAATGTGTGTGACTTCCTCCCCTCATACACGGCAAATGAAGATTTCCTGCTTTAGGAAGTCTTCAATCTATCGCCATTTTGCCAATTTGTGGTTTAGTATCCCAGTGTGTGGGGAAGAAACAAATTCTAATTGGCCCCAGTACCCATATTCAAATATTATGACAAAGTGTAGTTAGATAGAACTAGGAAGTTGATAAGGTTCCCCATGATATTTTGATTCACAAGTTGGAGGGCTGTGGATCAGATTTTAGGATGGATAGGTGGATAAGGAACTGGTTGGCTAATAATGGTACTTAATGGCTCCTTGTCTGATTGGAGGGTAGTAACTAATGGGGTGCCACAGGACTTGTTTTTTTACCCAGTGTTTTTTAATGTTTTTATTCTAGATGGGGCTGTGAAGGGGCTACTCATTAAATCTGATGACACCAGACTGGCTGGGGTAGCAAACACTCCAGAAGACAGAGATAAAATACTATCAGATTTGGATGCATTGGAAAAATGGGCAGATGTGAATAAGATGTGATTTAATAGAGATAAATGTATAATTTCGCATCTGATAGTAAAAATGTTATGTACACATACTGGAGGGGGAATACTCTTCTGGATAGTTACATATATGAATGGGATCTTGGGATTTTGGTGGAATGCAAATTGAGTATGAGTAGCCAGTGCGATGTAGTGTATCAACATATATAGTGTCTAGGGCATAAGATGTCATCATGCCACTATATATTGCACTGGTCAGACTCCATTTGGAGTACTGCACCCAGTTCTGGAGGCCTTCTTATAGAAAGGACACAGAAACTTTAGAACAGGTACAGAAGACAGCAACGTGGATGATTAGCATTTGAAGACGAAGCATTATGAAGAAAGACTGCAGGAACAGGGAATGTTCAGCCTGGAGAAGAGGAAGCTGAAGGGTGATATGGTCACTTTTTCTAAGTATTTGAAAGGCTGTCATAGAGGGGAAAAGGGTGGTGTTTCAGTTGGCAGTGGAGGATAGGACTCATAATAATCGGTTTAAATTACAGATGAGGAGATAACAGTGGGATATTGGGAAACGCTTTTAAACAATACAGAGCAGTTCAGTGGTAGAACTGGCTGCCTGGAGGTGTTAAGGGTTATCCTTCCTTGGAGGTGTTTAAACAAAGATTGACTTATCAGGGATACTTTAGATCACCCTGCATGGTGCTGGGGTTGGACTGGAAGGTCTTTAGGCCCCTTCCAACTTTTTAATTGTACGTAGATGGGGAGGAAGGAAAAGGAGAGCATGTGCCCCCAAAAGAAGCCAGGTCATCATGAACAAAAGAGGCTCATCATGAACAAACTTATTTGTTCATGAAACTGTAGCTTGCATTCAGACATCAAGTACAAAATCCAGCTTAATCAAAATGCCTGTTTCCCCTCAGTTTATATCACTGTCTGTAATCTTTTCTCAGTCTTAGCTTTATTATAAATTGCGACATCTAGCATAAGTTATGCCATTTGTCTGCATGTATTATATTTTTAATGGAATTGAGGTCCAAGATAAAGCTATGAGGATAGGACCTACTACAGTGAATCATAACCATCCCATGCCATAATAAATCTCCAGAGCTCAAAAGTGGCCTGTTTGTACATGGTTGCCAGTAGCACTCCTTCAGGATGGATGGACACACACACATATAGTGTCAAATAGGCAAACATCAAGTAAGGAGAAAGCTCTTAGAAAACCAAAAGAAAGAGCAAGCAACCGGAATGCACCAATTAATAAAAGAGGGGGCACCTCCAGGACGGTTCTTCAAACCATTTATAGATGTTGGCAGCAGGAGCAAAGAGCCAAGCACTTAATTTACGGAAATAAAAATTCAAAACGAAACACATCATTTTGGATCTAGCCTCATGAGTGAACTTTGGGAAACTAACCCCTACAATGTAACTTCCATAAAAGTGGCTTTTTAAAAAACTTGCAAGTTATATAGCTGGAAATATTGCCTTTTTTAAAAAAAAAGTTCCAAAATGCAGCCAGTTTCCGAAACAGAGTATCCACTTTGAATGCAACAACTATCTCTGTAACTTTTATTCTCAGCTATTTCCTAGAGGCCCCCAGTGTAATGAGCAATCTTGGCTTAGATTGCAATATTTGACACCGAAAGGTCAAGCAGCAGTGTCCTGCTTTCCCTTTCTTTAGCTCGAGATGCTTAGATCATGAAGCCAATGCTCATGCAGACAAAAAAGTGCCCCTTCCCCTCTTGTGTCAAACAGTGAGGACCCCTTTATTATCCTGAATTAAACCGTTCAGCTTCTTGATTAAAGGTTCCTTTTATCCCCCCCCTTCCAGCATTCTTCCTTCTCAGGCTGCTTAATTGCATATGCACAAATGAAGGCCTTCCATTCAGAGAGTTAGCATTTAGGGAGCCTGCTTGTCTGCTGTTCCCCCACACACACACACACACACACACACCCTCCTTGCACCCATGCTGGTCTCTCACCCTCTCCGCACTCAAAGCCTTTTACCACGCAATCACCAGGACAAAAGATATTCTTGTGAGGTATGGAAAACTAAAATGAAAAAGCCAAACCTCTTGCCAAGTCAAAAAAACCCAACACAAAACCTGGGAGGCATCACTGCAAGTTAGAAGGTAATAATTTTTCCATGTAAGTGACAAAGGAACCCCTACTCCAACCCTTTTCAGTTTCCTCTTTTTTAAAAAGCTACTATCACTGGCTAAACAATTACTCAAATACCAGTTTAGCTTTGATACTTATGCCCTCTGAACACACCAGCAAGAGGCTTCATTTATCTGACTGTGTTTAGGAAGATATCAAGAAGGTAACTAATCTAAATCAAGGGTGTGTGTGTGTGTGTGTGGGAGGGGGGCTATCACTTTCATTTTGAAGCCATTTTTGTCACTTCCAGAGGAACCTCTGTCCAGTCCTTTGCTGATTCAAACCCAATGTATGATACTTCCTTCTAGAATCCTTCAAACTAGCAGGTCACAGCAGAAAATGAAACAATGCCTAACATGAAGCACAACAGTTGCCTTTCTGCTCAGCCGATCACCCCTTTTCAAGAGCATAAGCCCCAGTAAGCAATAACTTCCCTGTTGATCTTCAATTCTGCCAGCATTTGCAAAATGTCACATTTTATTTTCTAGGGGTGGGAGGGGACCCGCACATACCATGACCTTTCCCCCTAGCTACAGCCTGGGTTCACACAGAGAAGTGCAAAAAAGCCAGCATGGGTAAAGTGTTGGACTAGGATCTGGGAAACTCAGGCTCAAATCCCCCACTCTGCCCTAGAAGCTTGCTGGGCCAGCCACACACTCTCAGCCTAAACCTACCTAAGCAGGGTTGTTGTGAGGATAAAATGGAGGAGAGGAGAATGATGTGAGCTGCTTTGGGGACCCATTGCCGAGAAAGGCAGGTTATAAATAAAGTAAGTAAATAAGTAAATAAAAGGGATGAGGAGTACAAACTAATCTTTCCCCCACAACTTCTCCCAACACATTAGGAGGTCTTTATTTGCTTGTTGATGCGAGTTTTCCATTGAAACACATTTTTAGTGGGACATGTTTTGCTTTCTCTCTGTCTCGCCTGCTTGCCCCCTTCTACATCTGGCACCCATAGAATTTAGAAGGCTTGGCTTTATTGCTGGGTTGTTGGGTCTTTTTGTTAAGATAAACCTACACTACCCAGGCATGTGCATGTGGGAGACAGCAAAACTCCAACTATATTAAATCACCACTTAATATACTCGGGGGGGGGGCCACATATGATCTGAAATGCCTTCTGGACAGCAGTGTCCTACTGAGAGATGACCAAAAGAAACTTGAGGTACCTAAGCTGCAAATTGACTCATTCAGTAAAGAATGTTGGAGTGGCAACCATTTATGTACATCTTTGTGTGTTAAAACAAAACACAGGCTTCAAAGACATACTTATTGTGTGCCTTCAAACACAACCAATGCCAGGTGTATCCAGAGCAACCAGTCAGTTCTTCCCTGAGCATTCCCTACTACACTGGGCAGTAAGGCCTTCTTTGCTGAAGGTCACCTGCAGTTTTACTCTATGTACAGCCAAAAAATATCAAAGCTTACATCACAATGATTCCCTGGGGGAGCACCACATTTAGATAATTAGTTTCACCTTGTATATGTACAAGACAAAATACAATGGTCTTGCGCCCAAGCTCCTTTTGTACACTTCAGTGTTTGTTATCTCTTACCCAGTGTGGAAAAGGAAGGTTCCAAAGCCAAATTCAGGTTGCCATAAGTAACGGTCCAAGTAGTAGCACTTGGAAATTGAATACCACAGCAAAGCATCCTAAGGACTGCTTCACATATTATGGGAAAGACTAAATTCTCAAAAGCCAAATTCAGGTTGCCATAAGTAACGGTCCAAGTAGTAGCACTTGGAGAGTGCTCTGGAATCACAGGAAATTGAATACCACAGCAAAGCATCCTAAGGACTGTTTCACATATTATGGGAAAGACTAAATTCTCCTTTGCTATTACCCATCTTCACAGTGACCACGTTGATGGGAGACACGTGCCCAAATACATATTGCAAATACACACCTAGCAGTCATGATCTGCCAAGATTACTGGGCAGCTGTCTACTATGTGTAATCAATGTCTCCTTTCCATCCATGGCAGTGTCACTGTCTTCCTTTGCTGGAGCTGCTATGCAATAGTAAGAAATATTTACAAGAGATGCAAACTCTGCGTTTGCCTGACATGTTCACGCAGGACATGATTTGTGTACAGTCTACACACATTAGGAGTCTGGGGCACAATTGTGTCTTCCAGACATCTTTGCATTGCGTATCACATCACAATATACAATCCCACTTAACTGGGACATGTAGGCCATATGAACCACTTGGTATATGAATGTTGTGTTCAGATGCACACATCACTAGCCACATCATAGCCCCAGTAATGAACTACCTTTACTTTTGAAAAGTCCAGATAAGACTTTACTGTGAGCAAGACAGCAGTCAGACACTTCTCTTTTGTTTCACGTTATACTTGTGGTAGAGCTGAGGAACATAACATCAACGGGCCTTTCTCAGTGCCTCTAGCCGCCTGCAAAACACCACCTAGATGGTCTGGGTCTAACTGTAGCCAAACCAGGAAAATCCCTCATTTGTATGCTGGGTGATAGAAATATAAGACTCTCTAGCAGCCCAAACCAAATGGACATCATTTCATAGTAATTGCACAAAGAGGGACAGTTCAAATTCCTGCCAGCAAGCTCACTGAACTGGACATAAGACTCTGACCTGTAGGAATGGGCCTGACAGAACACAAAAAAAAATTTCAGAAGCTGATTTTTCAGAGGAATCTGCAGTCCTCAGGAATGATTTCCAATGTAAAGTCAATGCAATCTCCCATGGCAAAGCTTAGGGTAGGGAACATGCTACGCCAAAGGCCAAATTCTCAGCCGAGGAAATTCAAAGATAGTGTTCAGTAAATCATGCACACCAATCAAATCCCAAATCTCCTTCCCAAATCCCACACATACAGAGAATTTTGAAACTCTGTCCAAGATTCAAGTTTCAAAGAGCCACAGAGATAGGAAAGACAGTGGTGTCTGAATGAAGCCCCATGCCTTCCCACCTGATGTCTGCATGTCCATCTCTGTCCAGACATTTCCCAAGCTATTCTCCATAGTCATGAGGACTAGAGACATTTACACCCTCATCTACGTGAAGAGGTATTCAAGACTCCAAAGTCAAATATGGGGAAATGTATTGCACACATTGAGTATATGGGCAAGTTCCCATTTTGCACATTATACAGGAAATACAAAGAGAGGAAACACAAGAGACTTGAGCTTCTTTCCTCATCACCTTGAGGCACCATACAAAGCTACCTTCAGACTTTTAACTCTTCACTAGATACTAAATTCTGTCTTCGTATAACACTCTGCCCTATCTCGTTTCCAGTATAGTGGATGAAACCAGCACAATTTTGCCACACAGTCTGATACCTTAACCAAAAATCTTCAAGTATAAACGCATTTGAAAAGCATACACTTCCATGTCACAAATCAGGCTGCTGGTTCATCTTAATGCTCTACACAGAAATTGAAAGGAAGAACACACTTCAGAGGCTAACCTTTTCTGCATGTAAAATAAAAAGTACCTTACATGCACTGAAGGAGATCTGTAAACGTTAAGACTTCTGCACTGTAGCACTGATTATTCCCATTTTGCAGAGTACAAACTAAGGCCAATTAATAATGTACTGTAGCCAGAGAACGAACACTTATTATGGAAGACTGTGGACTCACCCACTTGTACAAGCCAACTGTGCTGACAACATAGTCTACACACCAGGTGAGGCCTATTTCTGTTGGTGGGGTAACCAACCTGCTCTTAACTACCAGTGGTTTGGTGGGCAAATGATAAAATGACAGAAGACTCTTGTTGAGTGAGTTGCAGCCAAACTTCCAAAGGGTGCAGTAAGCATTTCCTTAGCATAAGGGTGCTTAGAAATCTGTTGGTTGTTTTGGCACACAGTTTCTGCAAATACAAAAAAAAAACAAAGATGAAAGAGACCACAATGAGGCTTACCTATAATTTCCTTTTTTGCTCAGCTGCTCTTTAAAGTGCCCAAGTGTCAGGCTCTGGGCCTTCAACATCCTCCTATAGGGAATTTCTTCTCCACAGAAAAAATAAGTGACAACCAACTCACTAGGCTGGGAGGAGTGAACAGCAGGAAGTTTCTTTGGTTCTTTGTGACTGAAAAGAGGAAGAGAAAAAGAGGTGAGACTTCATAACATTTGGATATTTCTACCACAGGCAAGACCATAATTACATTGCCATTAGTGTATATATGTATGACTCTTAATACTCGACCAGCTAAGATTATTTGAAAGGCAATTTTCTTCACAGGCCAAAAGGTCTACAGTCATTGCAAATGTAGATCCCAGACCTAGCTCCAATGCTAGTTGGCTGTACTGAGCTAGGGTGAACCACTTCATCCTTCTACCATCCTACCACCCTCAAGGAAAATGGTGCTGATGATAGAAAAAGGAGTTTAGCAGCACTCAGCCAATTCAGTATGACAGACCATCCTTAACCTTGTCCATGCTTTACCACCGGATGGGGCTTATTAGGATAATCTCTTTTGCCAGTGTTTAGCTCTTAAGCCTTCAAACACATAGTTTAATTCTATTTTCTCAATTCTTATCTTGCGATTGAAATTACTGCATTATATGTTTGTACAAATAACATTTTAAAACATATCTAGAGAGACTGGACCAGTCGTCCTTACTATTTCACTTCTCCTCAGTAATCTGTACATCCATTGTCAAAGGCAGGAAGAGTATATAGTCCACTTTTTGGAAGGGCAAGAGAAAAGCCCTGGGATGAGACAGACCGAGAAGTACATCTTTTCCTGATCAGTAGATGGCCTAGAGTGGCATTATCCCATTTCTTCACTTTGCACACATATTTCCCAGGCCACCACAACAATCAAGGACAGACAGATGCACAATGAATAGACATGCCTACAAGTGGAGCTTCATATCTGCAGAGGTTTTCCCATCTCATCCAACTCTAAGGAAACTCCATGCATTCCCTCTATACTGAAATGAATGAGAAAAGCCCTAATTCATATAGAGGAATGTGTGCATATTCATCAATGCAGGATCAGGGATAGAGATCTATTTGCCTGTCAACCAGATTCTTTGATGCAAGGGGAGCAACAAGCCCCAAACCTTTTAAACCTTGGACTCCTGAGGCAGGGAGATCTGCTTACTGAACAACAAACAATTCTGCTACCAGGAAAAATCGCAACAGGTCCTTGAATGACATGCAGGCAACTTCTGAGGCAACATTGACTTGGCATGTCAAAAGGTCACAAAGTGTTACTCCACAGTAATTTAGTCTTCCTAATTTGTTCCAAGTCTTTGTAGAGTGGCTTCAGGAAGATGGGGGGGAAAGGCTACTAGCAAAGACAGCTGGTGTACTTAAGGTCAACCAATTAAAAATGAAAGGCTATAGTGAGGTGGTTTAGCCTGGACTTCAAACATTACTTATTGCTTAAGATGAAGTCTACAAGAAAGAAAACTTTATTTAGACTGTAGCAGATTTCATCTTTAAAAGAACTATCCCGTAATTAGACTAATCCAATCTTTGTCTGCTTTATAGGAATGCAAGCTAAAAAAGAAATAGAAGACAGGATTTGATAACAGTTTGTTCCTTGTTTCACATCATCCAAAAAGAATATATATTAAAGAGGTATGAAGCAGAGACTACATTTTTAAAGGAAAGGCAAGGAAGGCTATCTAGCTATGTGTCACACAAAGCAACACTCACTCTTCTGTCGCTGTGCTTGGACTACAAAAAGGACCATTTCCTCCGGGCACTGAAGTCAAGTGGTTGCGATCCCTGGGTTGATTTGAGGTTGAGCATCTACAGTTTGGAAGGGGAGAAAGAAAAACAGAGAAGAGAATGATTTGGCTTTTCAAAAGCTCACCGAGACCTCTAAGATGCCCACACAGTAAACAATCAAGGAGATAATTAAGTACTGGGAGGGGGGGAGGACTATAACTACATCTTCTAATGAAAGACAGCAAAGGCATCGTTTGGCATATCCACTATTCTATGGCCTTTAAGAAAAAGAAACAAAGTCAGAAAGCAGAATTCTAAGACTTGGACCCTGTGATTGGATTCTGTTTGCAACCCTCTTGGTCCTTTGTGGAGGCAGTCCTCTGACATGGAATCCGGCACTAGAGTCTTCTGGTTCATTGGAAGACACTGGGCTTGCTAGGGTTGCCAACCTCCAGGTAACACCTAGAGCTCTCCTACCATTGCTTTGATCTCCAGACTATCAAGATCAGTTCCCCTGGAGAAAACAGCTGCTTTGGAAAGTGGACTCTGTGACACTGTACCCTGCTGAGGTCCCTCCCCTCCCCAAACCCCACCGTTTCCAGGCTCCACCCTCAAAATCCCCAGGTATTTCTCAACCCAGAGCTGGCAACATTAGAGCTTGCACGAGTGGAAGCCCCTAGAGCCAGAGGGATGCGCTGCACAACACAGGACAACTCTCGCAAAGGAAAAGGGGCGCTGCACCAATAGAAAGAAAGCACAGGATCAAAATTTAACTGAACGCATGAAGCTGCCTTACATTGAGCCAGACCACTGGTCTATTAAGGTCAGAATTGTCTACTCTGACTGGCAGCAGCTCTCCGGGATCTCAGGCAGAGGTCTTTCACATCACATACTACCTGATTCTTTTAAACTGGAGTTGCCTGGAACTCAATCAGCCACCTTCTCCATACAAAGCTTATGGTCTACCAATAAGCCATGGTCAATTGGAATCAAGAGGACATACCTAGGCCTAGGGCCCATTTCAGCTCAGCCATAGCCCTGCTTATAAGCCTCCAACTCTGTTTATTCTAAAACATAAGGTTGTGTACCCCATCCAACCAAACTAAAACTGAGCCAACTCAGAAGGGGATTTACAAATTTAGCTGCCTTTGTCTCTTTCTTTTTATAATTCATTTCTTCTCTACCTCAGAAGGTTTCTGTAAAGCTCAGGCAGAACTAAGAAGTCTAAAAGTGAAGACTCGGCTAGTGAGGGCCTTGTGTTGCCCCTCTGCTTAAAATGTGAATCATGTTGTTGGGGGGAGCAACAAGACCTAAATGAAATGTGACTGAACCAGCATCACAGCCATAAGGTTTGGAAATGTTCAGCTATGAGACATCATTGTTATATGTCTTGCAGTTCATTCCAGAAGACTTCCTCTCTAGGAGGCTACAAGTCTATTTCAGCCAAGGAGGCAGCAGTCAGAGAACATTTCTGAATGCAGGGGCTTTTCTGTATCTGCACCCCAGTTCTGGCCCTGTGGGAGTTACCGTTGTTTCTGAGGCTTGGATACTTCAGTTAGCCTGCGGCAAGCTTCTTCCAGCTGGGCCAAAGTGTTGGGTGGCGTCAGCGGGGGCATAGCGGGATCCTGGATGAAAGGGTGGGCAGGTTGTGCCCCGCGCGGATGGCTGCCATTGCCCCACAGATGGTGCCGGGTTGGACGCTCACCAGGCACACCTCTGGTGGACTCGGAGTTGTAGGCCTTCTTTGTGCTTTGTGTGCTAGTGAGAGAAAGAGGCAGGGAAGGTACATGGTTATAAAAGCTGGAAAATATTACTTTAATAGCGGCTTCTGTTCTGTGTGCTCACTGTTTGTGGGGGGAAGGGGAAAAAGAGAAGTTTGTCATAGCATGAAAGGGGGCTCTTGCCAAAAACATGACATTTTTGTGGTTTTTCTGGTTCCAAGGAACAGCTTTCATAATAAACCAGAAGAGCAAAAGAGCTTCATTTGTTTTTAGTAATTGTAAAAATAGACAGATAAATATTTACCAGGAGCAACAGTATTGCAGACAGTTTGTATTTACCTATGGATTTTGTGCTTAGATTGTCTTTCACTCTCCAGCATCCACTGCCAGACATTCTGTGAGCGGTCTGCCTCCCCTCCAGGTAGCTGGGTCCCTGGTTGTACAGACAGCCCTCCTCCTTCTCCACCTGGCAAGATGACGCCATCCGATAGTTTAGAGGTCCTCTTCAGCAATGTCCCAGTTCTGCTGAGGCTTCCCAAGAGACACAGAAAGGAGAACGGCACTTAGCCTGCCTTTTTCTTGTCACAGAGGTTATGACCACAAACGCATGCCACCCAAGGTCACCTTCCCCCACTCCCAAACCCTTCACAATCAACAACACTCATCTTTTAAGAAACTGACTGGATGCTGTAGCCAAATTTTAACTGACCACACAGTTTTAACCACAAAACCTGCCCAAACTTACCCAAGTGGCTCCAGCTGAGCTGCAGGAAGGTCTGCCCCTTTTGAGTGCCCCTTGCACTTTGAGTAGCAATAGTAGTCATTTCCGCCAGCACAGAAACACTGGACCCGCTGGGCTGCCTCCGCTTCTATCTGCTCTTTTGTCTTGGGGATGGTGTGGTGGTGGATATAGTGGTGGTGAACGTGTTTGGTGGTCTGCTTGGTAATAAATCCTTTGCTGATGAGGGCACAGGCTGTGGGTACTGAGGCTGTTCCTGGAGCCAGCAGCAATTTGCCACCCGGGAGGCGGTCCGGTGAGCGTGTGCGAGGGCTATGCCGTCCCATGCCCGGAGACTGGCACCCTGGAGTCTTCAGAACTCGAGAGAGATGGTCATCCAGAATTGCCTGTGGGTCATCCTCAAAATTGCCAGATGGTAAGAGGTTGAGCGGGTGCTGGTGTTGCTGAGCAACTGAAGTCTCCCTACTGGTCTGCAAGCTGGCAGGTATATCAGGGCACTCCTTTTCTTCATCCTTCCCGGGCAAAACATAAAGGACAATCCATCACATCAAGATGTACAAGGGAAATCTAGCAGCTGCTTCAGACCTGTGCATTTCTGCGTTACAGCCTGAAAAGAACAGACTTATAGCATCAGGGTTTTTATTTATAAATTTATAAAACCCTTTCTCTGTAGATCGGCCTTTTTCTCTTCCAATATACTCTCCCCAAAAGACCTATAGTGACATTGAAATAGAAAAATATCAATAAAGCTATTTGCAGGGCACTTTTTTTTTTTAAATGCAGTGCACCGCTTACCAAGCATCAGCAGTTTAGCTTGTAACTCTCAAGAACAGAATGGAGTTAGACTGCCGCAACTGCCACCCCATGAATACCACCTCCCCCCCCCCTCGCCCGTATCTTCACAGCAAAGGGATGCTGCACAGCAGGGAACTGTGCTGACAGGGTTAATCCACCCACCTCTGTGATTTGCTGCAGCCTCTCTTCCAGGCAGTCCATGGTCTCTTGCTGTTGCTTGAGCTTTTCCAACCGAGAGATGAGTTCAGCCGCAAAGATAGCTGGTTCCACAGGGGTCATCTCCTTAGGAAGACGGTGGGTTCTCTATAGAGAGTGGAGACAAAAGCAACAAGCCATGTTTAGCGGATGGCACAAGCCAAGGAAGCTTAGCCTGAGCCGTATTTCTGGCCCCGTTCAACTTGTTGTGTCTCCATGTCTGGATGAAAAGACAACCGCAACTAGGTATGGTCTGCTCTGGATTTTTATGAGCGAGTGCTGTGGCCTCATGGAGTGACATCCTCCCCAATAGCATTTGCCTTCGGCAGGAGCAGTTGGTTGCACTCCGAGGAACCCTGCTTGTTCCCTCTGTAGTACAACCAGCCCATCAGTAGCTACTCTGAAGTAGAAAATCTTCAAAGACTGTTGTCAAACATCAAATAAAAACTCTGAGGTGGGAGGGAGAGACTTTAACTCAAGGAATAAAAGCGGAGTATAAACAGAAAGGAATTGGAAATTAAAAAAATAAGATGTGGGGAGAAAAAGGGAAGGGAACTAAAAAAAAAAAAAGAAGTCAAACGGTTGCAGATCAGAGAAGTGCTAGTAATTTATTTCCTGGCTACACACTGGGCACCTTTGAGGTAGTGTCAGCAGTTGCTTAGATCTCTTTCTCCCCCCCCCCCGCCCCCCATCTCTTTGTACAGAAAATGAAGGAAGCTGCTGCAGGCAAGCGGTGATACACTGCTGAGCATGGCTGCCTCAAGCAGATCTATCAAGGGAAAAGGGAACATCTCCAAATCAAGTGTAGAATATAAAAAGGCAAGAATCTCTGCCAAAAGCAGCAAGGAATGGGGGAAACCCCGTGGATCACTGTTTTCCTCTTCCCACAAGCACTTTCCCCATTTTTCTCCTTTACTGTTATATTCTGTGTGCACGCACGCACACACACACACACAGAGTGTATATACACACACTTTTTTTAAAAGGACAACACTGAAGTACCAACTATTTCACATACTACCCATGAGATGAGGTGGGGCCTCTCTCTCTCTCTCTCTCTCTCTCTCTCTCTCTCTCTCTCTCTCTCTCTAGCAACCACTTAGCTTCAGAAATGATGTGAGGGTAGAAAAAGGCCACTCTGCTGGAAATTGTCACTCTTATACAAGCTGCCTCTATTCAGTTCCCTGATCAAAGCACTGCCTTACAGAGAAAGTCGATTTGCACGCCCCAGGACAAAATAATCTAATTTACAAGCGGAGGCCATAGAACTTCTTTAAGCAGGGAATATACACACAAACACAAAAATAAACTCAAAAGAGATCACACGGGCACAAAGTTATTCCATAAATCTAAACACACACACACGTATGTATGTATCACCTAAGACTTCACACTGCTTAAAAAGCCAGGAGGAGAAGGAATTTGGTTACACTACTCATGAGACAAGATAAGTTTGTACTTGCCTGTGTAAATAATTTTGCAAAAAATTATTCACTAGCAGTATTACAAACACCAATCTGAAATCTTCCTTACTTCAGGTAAGAGGGCAAGTCACATTTCTAAAGATTCAGACCAAGATTTAACTGCTTTGCCTCAAACCCAACAGGCAGGAAAGCTGAGGGGTTTTTTTAAGGCACACATTTGGTACAAATATCCTCTTTCCTTTAGAGAAGCTGGGAAATCTATTTCTGCCAAGAAGTTGCTAGCGGTGGGAGAAATCCTGGCTCCACTCAAATAAATAGCTGGACTCCCAGTGACTTCAATGAGCACAGGATTTCTCCTGGTGTGTTTCTGTCTCTTTGAAGTCTTGGAGCAGAGCACAAAATGCAAAGAACAATCCTTTTTTTCAAAACCCAGCTGTGGAAGTTAGGGGAAGATTTAAGTATTTCCCCCACCCACCCAAATCCTCTATTCCCATGGTTCTAAAAACGACAGGAACTTTATAACAGCCTTTCAGTGGCAAACCAAAGTGCTAGAAAAGCTGCCAGGAACCAGATCCTTATTCATTGTCCCAGAAAGGGAAGTGAGGAGAAAAGATTTCTATCCAGAAGGAATCTTTTTAATGGTGACTGGGCATATTTGAGCCAATGTCAAGCAGGGACAAAGACTGCAGAGTTTAAATGGGAAGAACACCATATAAAGATGGAAACTTATACAACTTATCACTAAGACACAACCCCTCCCTACATTATCATCTTGAATATATGAAGCTTTCTTGACTGAAATCAGACCACTGGTTCACCTAGTGCTGTGTTGTCTATGCACATTGCCGGCAACTCTCTAGAACCTCAGGCAGAAAAATAAGTCTTTACACCTCCTACCCAAGATCATTTAACAGTAAATGCCAAGGACTGGACTTGAGACTTTCTGCACAAAAAGCTTTACAACTGAACTGCAGCCCTGCACCAAGAAAGGAACACAATATACATCAACAGAAGAACTTCCTTGCTGGATGAGACCAAGGCCTGTAGCTACAGTGGGGTATCCTGGGGCCTGGCCCTCCGACTAACTGCCAAGCCCCCCCCAACTTCCCATCCAGCACAGGCCCCCCCAACGTCCAATTTTTTATTTTTTCTGTGGTGCTCCCTTGGGGGGGGGGTATGTCTGCGCAGGGTGCCCCCTGACTTATTTAAAGACTCCCCAAATTAAAAAATCCTGGCTACGGGCCTGTCATCCAGCCCAGCATTCTGTTTCCAACAATGGCCAATCAGGTGACGTTGAGAAGCTCAAAGTATGTCATGAAAGTCCAACCTTACCAGACAAAGGTAGTCTGCTGTACAGAGCATCATGGGTGTACAGGCAGTGAAAAAAAATGTCTGTGTACATTAGGAACAAAAACTTCAAATTCACTATTAGGAAGAATTTTTCATCCATCAAGAGCAAAATTCTTGGATTCTAAGTGGGTTTGCTGTTAATTCCCACCAAGGAGTACACTTTACAGGCAACTTGTCTGCCATATTGGTTAGTTGCAGGGCCCCACCTGGAAGTGAGTTCCAAAGGCATTTCAATGCCCTCAGAGCCCACCACGGCCAACCTGAGTGAGCTCCAAAGGCATTTAAAGGCCTTTGAAGCCCACTTCTGGGTCTGGCCACCCAACCAGAAGTGAGCCCTTAAGGTATTTAAAAGCTGTCTGAGTCCAGAGAGCTCCAAAGGCATTTAAATGCCTTTAGAGCCCACCTCCGGGTCAGGCTGGCCCGACTGAGCTTCAAGAGTGATGTCCAAAGGCCTTTAAAGGCCTTCAGAGCTCACTCACGTTGGGCTGCCCAACTCAACCGAGCTCTCAGAGTGAACTCTGAAGGCTTTTATAGGCCTTCAGAGCCCATTTCTGGGTGGGGCCTGCCCATATAAGGGCATAAGACCTATGAAAGTCTTCAGAGCTCACTTGAGTCAGGCTACCCGATACCACCAAGCTCCAAGAGTGAGCTCCTTCAGGCCGGCCCAACACGGAGGTGGGCTCCGAAGGCATTTAAATGCCTTTGGAGCTCACTTGGCTTGGGCCACAAGCTAACTCCCAAACCCACCCACAAACCTCCATGAAAACATGGAGGTTTGTGGGATGAATTTATCTCCTGAACCCCTGGTTCATGCTTTGCAAACTAGCCTAGTTCATGCTGAACCAAGGTTCTTAAATTGGCTCGTGCCCATCCCTAATCCCAAAATATAGATTGGAGGGCACATGATGCAGCAGTCATATTGAAGCTAAGTGGGTTGAGGTCTGGTCAGCCCCTAAATGGGATTCCTCCAGGAACCCTTAATGTGCATCCTTGAATTCTGCAACAGGCAAAAAGTGGGATATAAATGTGGCAAATATCTAACACTTGCAATCTTTTTCATCCATGTGAGCAGATGGAATGTGGAAGAGGAAACACTGGTATCTGTTCCCTACTACCCACACTTTATTTTTACTAGGATAAAGATCACACTTCACACTGTGTCCCAATCGGTCTGAAACAACCAAATTTTATCAGTGCTAACTCTAGAAATGTATGAATCGTCATCTGTAGACCCCATTCCTTGATTGTAATTTCAATAGCTGGACAAGCTGCTTGCATCTCAACGGAAGAATTTAATACTGGCATCAGAAAAATATAACTACCTGACCTATACTGTTGCCAGGAGATTTGTTCTCAGGATTCCACCAGTACACTCAATGACCAGACTCAGACAAACTCAGCTTCAGCAAAGTGACAGCGTAATGTATCTTCTTATAATCTCATCAGGCCCATAGGATTTTAAGGATTCCCTTCTCATCACTATGAAAAACTTTTGTACTTACTGGAAAGTGAGGTAGAGAAACTTGACCGTTGGCCTTGACACTACGATGCATTTCCCTCTGGAGTTGCTTCTTGCTCCCAAGTCTGTAAGGAGGGATCCCATCACTGGAAATCAAAAACACATCATTTTCAGATTAGGCACTCTATGATGTAACGAAACTCTTCTTCAAAACAGACCCAAGGAAGTATTACCAGCTCCACCACCTGACCTCACACAGAGAGTTGATATATGAAATAAAACGTTAGCAGCCTACTCAAGAGTCCCTTGCACTTGGTTATGGAGTGGGAGGCAAGAGAAACCAATCCTTTTTCACCCGGGGGCTCACACAACTCCGAAGCCAGGCCTGTAATACAAGCCAAACCTTCAGATAAGCAATCATGGTTTCTATTCAAAGGCACTTCCTTCCTTCTCCATCATAAAATTCCACTGAAGAAATGTTTGTGAGTAAACACCCTGTGGGTAAGATTAGAACTCGCTATGGTTTGTTGGATTCTGGTATCTGTTGGAGTCTTGGCTATTTCATTTGCTATGGCTTTGTACCTCAGCAAGTATGGGGAAGACATGGCATAATTCAAGCTGGGTGTTTCCATTTCATTTCTGCCACAGTATTAACAACTGCAGACTGGTTTAGATGGTACATCAAAAAGGGGGGAAACAGCAGCAGAAACTGACTTGTGCAGCTTCCATTCCTCTTTTAATTATAATGTGGAAAATTAGATTTATTGAATTTAGTGGATTATTATAGATATGCAACATGAACCAGCCTTATCCTATATATATATAGCTATCATATGTATTGGCCATTCCCAGCTCTCCCATTGGCTGTGCAGTGTGCTCCATGAGCCATTGGCCCATCAACTGCCACTCAAGAGTACTCACATGCCATTGGATGGGTGCTGGGTCCGCTCCTCTCACCCGCCCACTGCCAGCATGGCCACTTTCCTGTCAGAATAAACTACGAAAACAGCTGTCTCTCCTGCTTGGCTCCACCATGGCTGGCTGACTACTGAGGTGGGCCAGCGGCCGTCAGACCATTCTCTTCAACTTCCTGCTGTGCGGCTGACTTTCCCCCAGGATTTCCAATCTCCAGGTGGGACCTAGAGATATCCCGCTGTTACAATTGATCTCCAGATGACAGAGATCAGTTCCCCTGGAGAAAATGGATGCTTTGAGAGTAGACCCATTATACCCTGCTAAGTCCTTCCCCTCCCCAAACGCTACCCTACACAGGATCCAACCCCCAAATCTCCAAGTATTTCCCTACTCAGAGCTGGCAACCCTACTTTCCGCTCAATGCCTGTTGCTAGGCAACCAAGCTTGGTTAGTAAAAGGTGGGGGGAAGAAACCCTTTCCACACCTATTTTGGCCTTTGGGAGAAAACTCATTGGGGCCAGTCCTGACTAGGATTGCCAGCTCCAGGTTGGGAAATTTTGTGGTGGAGCCAGAGTTTAGGGAGGGGAGTGGCCTCAGCTGAACAGAATGCCATAGAGGCCACCCTCCAAACCAGTTATTTTCTCCAGGGGGAGAGAGAGATCTGTTGTTTGGAGTTCAGTTGTGATACCAGGCGATACTACAACCAGTGTGGCATAGCAGTTAGTGCTCCAGACCAGGATCTGCCAGACCCAGGTTCTTGCTGTGGAAGCTGAGTGGGTGATTTTGGACCAGTCACAGACTTTCAGCCTAACCTACCTCACAGGGTTGTTGTGCAAGTCAAAAGACGGAGAGGAGAATTATGTCAGCTGCTTTGGTCCCCATTGCAGAGAAAGACTGTACTTTTCCTCCTAGGGAACCATTGCTGCCAATCTCCAGGTGAGGGCTGGAGATCACTCAGAATTACAACAGCTCTCCAGATGGCAGAGATCAGTACTCCTGGAGAAAATGGCGAACTCTGTGTCCTTATACTCTGCTGAGATGGCCCCCCTATGACAGCCAGTGTGATGTAGCAGTCAGGGCTTCAGAGCAGGGTAGAGGCTGTGTGTGTGTGGGGGGGTGGAAAGCTGAAGTCAGAGGGGCAGATAAAGGTAGGTTGATGGTTGGCTGGGAAGGAGATAGGGTTGCCAACTCCAGGTTGGGAACTTCCTGGAGATTTGAGGGATGGAGCCTGGGGAGGGTGGGGTTTGAGGAGGGGTGGGACCTCAGACAGCTACAGTGCTATAGACTCCACCCTCCAAACAAGCCATTTCCTCCTGGGGAACCACTGTTGCCAATCTCCAGGGGAGGGCTGGGGATCACTCAGAATTACAACTGCTCTCCAGGAGGGAGGGGGAGGAGATGGAAAGCTGATGTCAGAGGGGCAGATAAAGGTAGGTTGATGGTTGGCTGGGAAGGAGATAGGCTTGCCAACTCCAGGTTGGGAACTTCCTGGAGATTTGATGGAGCCTGGAGAGGGTGGGGTTTGAGGAGGGGTGGGACCTCAGACAGCTACAGTGCCATAGACTCCACCCTCCAAACCAGCCACTTCCTCCTGGGGAACCACTGTTGCCAATCTCCAGGGGAAGGCTGGAGATCACTCAGAATTACAACTGCTCTCCAGGAGGGAGGGGGAGGAGATGGAAAGCTGATGTCAGAGGGGCAGATAAAGGTAGGTTGATGGTTGGCTGGGAAGGAGGTAGGGTTGCCAACTCCAGGTTGGGAAATTCCTGGAGTTTTGAGGGGTGGAGCCTGGAGAGGGTGGGGTTTGAGGAGGGGTGGGACCTCAGACAGGTACAATGTCATAGACTCTACCCTCCAAACCAGCTATTTCCTCCTGGTGAACCATTGTTGCCAATCTCTAGGGGAGGGCTGGAGATCACTCAGAATTACATCTGCTCTTCAGATGGCAGAGATCAGTTCCCCTGGATAAAATGGTAAGCTCTGTGTCATTATACCCTGCTGAGGTATAAATTGGCCAGGGCACCCACCCACAGCCTCTTTCTAGAGCTCATTGTATTTATTTCCACATGGGTCTTATTCCTAGTCAATAATAATAGCCAGTGAAACTGCACCTTTCAGAAACCAACCCGAAGATTAAAAAAAGACAATTCTCAGGGTAAAGACTCACATCGCATTTTAGAATAGTGAGACCACACTGGAACAACCTCACAGCATTCAAGCCAAACAAGCTTCCTTTCCAAGGTCAAACTGGGAAAAGGAAAAACTGACTGACTGGTTCATTTCTTATGTGGTCACAAGAAAGTTTTGTCCCCCCACCCCCAAGGCCCTGTGGCAGTTTTAAATTAAAAGTTGGCTTTATTTAAAAAAGGAAGGAGGGACAAATGAACAGATAAATGCATAAATGTGTAAGCATCACTTTTAAAAAGAAAATGGGCAGGAGACCATCTGAAGCATGGGGGGGGGGTGTTGGAGAAGCAAGACAACCAATGGAGACCATCTTAACTCAGGGATAAGTATGCCCACTATTTCAACGGCAAGGCCAGTCTCACCCTGTGGCTAAAGGATGTGCTGTCAAATGCCCACTTAATAGTATGCCTATCTTCTCCAAACAAGAAAACAAAAGTCTTGCTTGCAAAAAGAGAAAACTAGAGGTGGATTCATGATTTATATGGAAAACACAATTGCTGGGGGAGTGGTGGAAAGTGTCTTCAAGTCGCAGCTGACTTATGACAATCTGACAGGGTTTTCAAGGCAAGAGATGCTCAGAGGTGGTTTGCCATTGCCTACCTCTGCATCACAACCCTAGACTTCATTGGTGGTCTCCCATACAAATACTAACCAGGGCCAACCCTGCTTAGTTTCTGAGATCTGATGAGGTCAGACTAGGCTGGGCCATCCAGATTAGGGCTTGCTGGGTATAAACTGATGCTTTTTACAGCAACATCTCTGGATGCACCCTTGCGTTTCATAGCCATGTACATGCACAGAGCCAGGGATCCCAGTTAGGGTTGTTGGGTCTTAGGCTTCAGCCTTGATGTTCAGGTTCTGGGACTCATTCTTAGGACAACTGATGGAAATCTCACATGGTCCATCTGTTTAAAACCCCCACAATTGTAAGTATGTACATTCACAGGCAATGTGTGGTAACTGCCTAGGCATGTGTGGAAGTACAACCATTTGCAGTACGTGCAAATGGCACCAAGCCCAGCAAACCCATTAAGCTCAGGTTTTTCGGATGCCAGGAACCTAGCAACTCTTTTTATTGAAAGCTGTAGATATGCACACAATTTACTTCCTTTATACTCTGCCATAGGGGATACAAAGTGGCTTATATAGTTCCCCTTCCTCCATTTTATCCTTATAATAACAACCCTATGAGGTAGGTGAAGCTGACAGTGTATGACTGGTCCAAGGTCACCCAGCATGGCAGAATGGGGATCTGAATGTAGATTTCCCAGACTGCAATCTGACACTCTAACCACTATGCCACACTGGCTCTCATGTTTAAAGAGTGAAACTCTGGGTATAGCTGCCCTAGAACCACATGGAGCCAACACTCTAACCAGAATATTTAAAAGGGGTACAAACACTCCTTCCCATTGTGCAGGCAGTGATGAGAAGTAGGAAGTACCCACCCTTTATTTCTTCAAGTCTCCTCTGCCACCAATGGGCACAGGGCCTTCAGAGGTGATAACTGCTTCTGCTATAGTTATGATGAATGCCCTATTGTGGATAAGGCTTATCACTCCAATGGGAAGAGTAGGGGAATTTCTGTGTTGTGAAACCTCTCCTTTTAAGGAATTGGAGTCTACATGAATCTTGATGGTCGCTGGCTACCTTACATCTTCTCACTTCAGCAGTTCTTGGGAGAAATGGGCTCTAAGCTTTCTTTTAGCTCATGTTCATTTTAAAAGAGGCTAGCATCTCAAAACATACTTTAGGTCTGTCTGCTTCCAGGCTATACTTGTGGAGTAGAATATGTAACAAAGCTAAGAGACAGGGCAGTCCCTGGTTCAAATTTCTCAAATCAATTTATTAGGCTGCCTTAGGCAAACAATTACTATCTGTCTGCCTGGGCTCTTCCCGCTGAGTTGCTGTAAGGAATCAACTGGTCAATATACATGAAGTGGCCTGAACCATCTAAAACACTGTATACATTTTTAAAAATTATTATTACTATTATTATTATTCACCCAAATGCAGTGCAAAAAGTCTTGCGTGTCAAAATGCA